TATACCGTGAAGATCTGAAAGAATGACACTTTATGCAAGATCACTCTGGATATTAGCAACTGTGCGACAGCATCAGTAATATCGCCTTAGCGGTGCTCGGGTTTCCGGATGTGTTTGAGGATCGATAAGTCATTTAGCATGCAATTTTCGCATTCTCTAAGCTTTATTTGAACGTTGGAGTGTCTGAGAATCGATGCGAAATCTATGCGTCGCACGTTGGGCTCTGGAGAATTTGTTTTTACCCCCAGGTAACCGTATGATCACAAAATTTTAGCGAGGAAGCTCCTGCGATGTTTACGTTTTGTACTAATGAACCAGGGAACCCGGGTTCAATCCCCACCCCTGCCCGTTTCGATCTGGATGAGCATCGTACCGGCCTGCGTTTGTGTATCACTACTGCGTGGTGCACGTTAAAGGCCGACGACCAGTTCGCGCTTTCCACTTTTCCCTCGCTTCCTCCTCTCCCTCCTTCTACCCTGTCCACCGTTGCCTGTTTCCTCCTCTCCTATAGTGAGGAGGAAGTTCTGCCTTGCAGAATCTTGAGTCTGGTAGTCGGCCTTTAAAGAGCTATAGACCCCAGGCTAGCGGTTATACTGCATTGGCTAAATTCCTCATCTACAGCGAGTGACTCGTCGCAACTTTGAAATGGCTGACCAACTACAGGCTGTATAAATATTGACACAACTCCCAAGTATACTAATCAACGATTTTACGATATGCGCAGCGCAAGTTTGTCCGCTTCTTTTAGCAGGGGTTGTGGTGACGTCCGAACGCCGAGCTCTGATTGGTTCTGAATAAAGAATAGTGGGTAGGCCTCAAGGCAGATTGCTTTTAGGTCTACCCACTATGCTTCAATCGGAGCCACTCAGATCTCGGCGTTCTGACGTCGCCACAACCCCTGCAAAAAAAAGCAGACGAACTTGCGCTCCTCATAGCTTTTAGAATAAAATTTTCGCATTTTTCAAGCTTCCTTTGAAAGTCTGAATTTCTGATAATCAAAACGAAAGGTATACGGCACGTGTAGGGCCTAGGGGAAATTGTTTCAGCCCTGGGTCACCGAATAATCACAGCATTTTTTAGCGAGGAAGCTCCTGCGATCTTTCACCTTTTTTACTAATCGCCAATTTTAGAAAATGGTAGTTCTAAAGATTTTGATATAATTTGCTTTCGTTGCAATAGCTTGCATTTGATCGCAGTGTTTCTTTGTTTGTTTTTCAAGTGAAAAACTGGCGTTTGCTCAAGTGACGTATATGAAACGTCCTGCTATATAACAATGCATCAACACATACTATTAAACTTAGATGCTCAGAGGTGTGTTCGTTTTTGTAATTAACAAGTTACAAACGTATTTATTTCTTACGAGTGTAATATTTATTTTCTGTAGCTGGGCCCGTTTTGTGCTCCTTAATGTCAGTAGGCTATGACGTTATCATCATGTGTGTATGGTTCTAAATATCCTCTTTACAATGCCTACGAAGGCCAAAATGACGTCAGCCGACCCCGACTCACGCATTGGACACGAAAACTGCGTCGCTCGGATGTATGCGCTTGTCAGCAATCAATTCGTCCATGGATATTTGAATTCGCGTTCCTGGCCAATGAGTGCCCTGAAAAAACTTATCATCACTTGCGAATGCCAAGTTCTACGGTGTGCTTAAAAAGCACGGTGAAAGCTTGGGGTCATCTCACCGGTGCCCTAGCATGTCACGACTGCGTGATTTCACAGTTCTCTTTTGAGTGTAGGATTACAGGTAAGGAAGAAGAAGTTTAAAAATAATTTCGTGGCCCCTTTAACACGGATATCTGTGCCACATTAGATAAAAATATTGACTTTTTGAATGCCGGTAAATTTCCCAACGACCACTTGGCCTGTCGGCAAGAACACCTCATATCCGGCGTCCGTCTCTTTTTATGGCGTCAACAATTCCCTAGAGACCACCATGCCGTCCTTCTTGGTTGAACCACGTCGACGTCGCTTCTCACCAGTGGGTGAGAGAATCTCATCTTGAAGGGATGATTGGGTCTTGAAGAAGTGTGATGCTAAACATATACTCGCTCACTATGGGGCAGTCGAGCAGCAGTCATGTCCCGAGTCAATCGTCCTGTCGTGGCCGGCGTAGTTAGATTTCGTTCCATCGGAGCGAAGTCCGAAAGTACTAGGACGGTACGTTCGTCCCACGAAGCGGCCGCCATCCCGGCGGCGCCGAAAACCACTCGCCTTGTCGGTGCACCTACGATACCATAGCAGCTCTCGTCGCCCGACAGTCCCCGGGCTGCAAATCATCTCACTTTTCAGAAAACAACAGGCACCGTTCCTCCAGAGGTTCTTGCCGTACCGTGATACCAAGCGTTTTATACCACTTTTCAATGAACGAATGCAGATATCAACTAGACTACAAAGGTTGCCGCCCGGCGTCGCTAGAAGCACGGTTACCATGGCAACCTCCCAGGCCCAAAATGGAGATCACAATCAGCGCTTCTGACGTCGTGCATCTAGATTATTTTGCGTCGTGTCGCTACTCTGGCAGCTACGCTGCGATATAGAGTGGCTCTAGGAGTAGCCAGCTGGATTCAACCGAACAAACTCCAACCAAGTTATTGCAGCCCACCATAGCCAAGTCTAGCCAAGTTCCCCCCATACCCACACCGTTGCCTACCCAGATAGCTGTGCTGCCAGAACTAGCCGGTATTTCTTTTTCTAAGCCGCTAGACGGCGTCGTCGGCGCCGCAATTCTCAAGATGGCGGTGCCGTTAAAGAAAAGGTCTACAGGGTGTCACAAAAGAAAATTTACACGGTCTTTTTTACCGCAAAAATAAACTAGGCATCGCCGAGCGCTCATTCTCCGCCCAAAGGTAGAGCTAGAGGTCACAACCAGATGCCAAAGTTTCAGCCCGATCCGATAACTTAATCAAAAGTTATTAGTGATTTTCTGAAAATCTCAATGGGAAAATGGAGCCCGTTTTCGCCCGCTTTCGGTTTCTGGTGCCATAGAGCCCCATGTGTTTGAAAACTCCGTCGGCCGCCATTTTCCCATTGAAATTTTCAGAAATTCACTTATAACTTTTGATTAAGTTATCGGATCGGGCTGAAACTTTGGCATCTGGTTGTGACCTATAGCGCTACCTTTGGGCGGAGAATGAGCGTTCGGCGATGCCTAGTTTATTTTTGCGGTAAAAAAGACCGTGTAAATTTTCTTTTGTGACACCCTGTATACATTTTCTGCCACTCTCTTGAACTGTAAAAACCCGCTCAGCGCGATTCTCTACCTATGTTTTGCGGTTTTGCATTCGAAGTTTTCTGGCCCCTCTTAAAAGTGTGCGCTTACTTTTTCTGATGCATGCTGCATACCGTCTCTGTGTTACCTTCCACTGTGAAAAATAGGGCTGGTAAGTTCCTGCCATTCGAGCTTTTCTGCTCGACATTCTCTGGAAACGAAGGAGGGGAAGTAGGTCGAACTAAGGCCCCTGGTGGAACGACCCTCGACGCGATTTTGCGAACAATGACAATTGTTCTCCTCCCTCCCAGAGATAATCCGCATAGCGTCCTCCAACATCTCCAAAAATAGTTGTCTGAGTTGGGGTGGGAAACGGATTAGTCGCGTGCGTTCCTCTGTCTATCGGTAAACATGTTATTTGTGAGCGTTAAAAATGCATGCCTTTCGGCTATCTTCTGTTGTTAATTAATTTCAACAGCTAGACGCTTTGTCGTTTGACACGCGGCTAATCGAACGGCGCCGTAAAAACTTACCGTAAAAAAAAAAACTAACATTCTAGTCGCATTCGTTCTGTCACTCGCGTACCTAACAAAAATAGTTTACTGCTTTTTTTCCAAATGTAGTGCAATGCTTTCCAATGTCCTCGGGAAAATGCATGCACCATGAAACACAAAATGCAGTGAAAAAACACGAGAATTTAGCCGCCAGCAGTGTTTGAAACTGCGCCTGTATAGGCGCAGCCTGTAAAAGTATACAGAAGTAATGCGAAAGTAATGTCATTACTTTTAAAAGTAATTTGTAATGGTAATTAATTTCCTTCTGGCTGTGGTAATTTGTAATGTAATTTAATTACATTTCAGCAATGTTCAGCAAAGTAATTAGTAATGTAATTTAATTACAAAATATGAGTATTTGGCCAGCTCTGGTTTCTACACCCTAGAATTTAGTCTGCCTCAACGGCCAACTTGTCTCCCAGTTGTAGATGAGAAATTTAGCCAGTGCAGTACAACCGCTAACCTGGGGTCGTTAACGTGCACCACGCAGGCCACCCGCCGATACGATGCTCATCCCGATTGAAACGGGCAGTGGTGGGGATTAAACCTAGGATCCCTGGGTTCTGCAGCGAAAGCTATTCCTCCACGTGCTCCGGGCTGGTATTGCCCACTCCGCCACGAATCCCCCTAGAACAAAGTTGTGAACGCACAGAATAGGAATATTTGCTCTTCGTTGCCAATGTTGCTTTCAACTCTGAATAAAAAAGAAAGAACCGTCGCTAGTTAACATACTCTGTTCCGTTTTAATCCGTTACATGCTAGGAACTTCACACCGCAGTCTACAAACTTGCAAAAGAAAACGCGTCTGCTTATATTCGATGCCGTCAAGTATCCGGCCAAGACACTTTCCTGAATGAAAAGTATTTTTGGGTTAAGTTTTATATTCAAGGATCGTTCACGTAAATAAACAAAAGTTTTTAGCAGAATGAAGTAACGCTACCCCTGAATAAAACGATTCATCTCGGCCTTTTATCATACAAAGCACAAGAGGTTTATATAAAAAAGTGGCTTGTGTTCATTGCAGTCTGTGACAGAAAAATCGAGAACAAACTTCTATTTACATATATACAAACGAGAGCTTTCAGTAAATATAACCTCTGGTGGGGAGGTGGGGGCGAATGCGTAGACGTCAAGACCCACGCAGCAAGTACGTCTCTGCGAGATTTTATCTCGGGCCAACCAGTGGGCTGTAGTCATCAGGTTCTATTTCCGTGAGTGGAATGTTACGTTTCTAGGAGCTTGTGTACACGCATTTGTTGAAAAAGTTCTGCTTTAGAGTGGCAGAGTCTTTCTTTTCGCAGTGAAACGTGTCGTCAAATTCACGCATCTGCATGACGGCAGTGTCAATAAGCTTCATCTCCGTGACAGACTTCTTGAGGAGCACCACTTGAGCGAAGTGCCTCTCCCTGATGTTGGTGCAGAGTGTCCGGACGGCCGAGATAAAAAACAGCTGGTCAGGGGTCAGTTCCGCGACCCCCTGGAGTGTATTGTCTTCTTCTGTACCCATGAAGATGTGGTAGCCTTCGAAGGCCACGCGAAGAGTGAACACATCTGTAATAACACTGGAGGAGTCGAGGCTAGCGTTGGAGACCATTCCTTTCATCATTTCGTCAAGGAGACACTGGGACTTTCTGCTAAAGACGTTCTTACTTTGGTCTTCTTTTAACACACCTTCAGGAGTGTGGAAGAGCTCGTTGACCAGGTCTCTGGCAATGAGGGTGCCCAGGCCGCCGAATACCAGTCCTAGCGGGCTGTTACTGTCGTAATAGGGTGGTTGCAAGGCTCCAGCAGGTAAGATCAGGGTGTTGTCTCGAGAGTCGTAGAATACGTTTTCTCTTGCAGGGCCCGACAGGAGTTTCAAGTCCACGATGCGAGAGGGAAAAATAAACTCAGCCAGTGGCCGATGCCGCTGAGTCACATTGGTAGACAACAAGTAATTCTGGTAGTGGACACGAGACGCGCTCACGTAACGATCAAAGTAGTCTCCCCCGGACTTCACACCGTCGTAGTAAGCGTCTAGCGTGGGAGCGTGTTTGATCCAAAACGGGTAGCTGATTAAAAAATCCATGTCGTTTCTGAGGCCGGAAAATGTTGACCTGGTGCCATCTTCAGGCCACCGTTCAAACATAATGGCCAACACTTCGAGCAAGGAAACGACAATCCGGGAGGCTTTGAACTGGTTGTCGCGCCAAAGACCATGATCCACAAACACGCTCCCAATGGCAAGTGGCATCACATCGTTGACGTCGGCCAGACAACTCCTCCACCTAGGCATGGGCTCAGCTTTGATAAAATTTTCCATAAACGTGTTGGTGAGGTTCCGATAACTCCTTCCTGCTTGCCTCATAAAATGATGTGTAACCCTCCATCCAATGTAGTTCATAGCACGGTGAAGAGTCTTTTCGTTTTTCAGTAAAACTTCTGACACATATTTTATGTACTCCGGAGATCTAACAAGAACTCTAGTTTGAAGACTGTGAACAAGGTAAGCCTCGCCGAAGATATGGGATAAAAAATCTTTCCACTTGATGCCTGCCCCATTGGTCAATGTCGCCAAAGTCACTGATTTGTACTTCTTTCTCTGACAACTTTTGTTACGTTGGTGTGCGAGGTTAATTTCAAATTTTATAACATCCCCAGCAATAACGTCAATGTCAGGTTGATCAGGATGCAAAGCAGAAATTGTTTCGGATATGTATGTCTTATAACCCCGGAGTATGGTGTCAGTGTGCTCTGAAGAGGACAACAACACCCCGAATGGCACTGCAAATGTGGAACAGTCCAACGTAATCATTCTCGCTTTTGGGTTATTGGGGTCTGGCGCCATTTTTACGGTTACCAAAGCACCTACGCCAGTGTCTCCTATAAATTTTCCTAGACTCTTGTATGGCTCAAAAAATATGTTTGCCATGAAAGGCCATGCTCCCATATCATAGGACTCTAGAAGTGCCCTGATATGTTCAGCACCTCCACTCGACTTCTCAGCTTCCCGCAAACAATCTCTGTATAAGCAAGAAGCTTTTCTAACCGCAATAGACGGGTTGATTAACATGTCGGGCATTCGAAGCGCGTTATCCATTTCAGCGTACTTACTATCGACGAACAGGCGTTCCGCTCCAAGCACAACCTTTCGGTAACTCGTCGGTGGAAGGTGAATCCAGGACTTGCAGACGTAGTCGTAAATACTTTGGCACGGATTCGCGGATGTGTTCAGCACGTAAAACAGATGCGTTCCCGCCGCACTGCATTGAACACTTCGGCACACGTGGTCGTCAACTGACTCTGTGGAAGGAATGAACGCCTCTGGCCTCTCCTCCTTTGCGCGTCGCTCCAGTTCCCGAATGAGAAGCAGGTGATAAAGAAGGATGAGGACTATTGCTACAATGATGTTAAGCACTAGGAGTATACATGGAATTGTGCGTTTTTCCGTTTCAGCGTCTCTGTGCGCCTCGTTGTTGTTCCGCGCGCACTGAGCAGGGTCATTTCCAGCCACCTTGGAACCAGGCTCCCCGGTAGCCTTTTTCACCGCGGCAGCCTTCTGCAGCTGACGTTTTGTTTGGGCATCTGAGAAAGCGCTCGGTTGGATCTGAGCTCCCGATGAAGTTTTGGTTGTTGAACTTTTCGCTGTTGATGATGAAGACAGCGGTGGAGCATGACTTTTTAACGGCATGATTTCTTTTGTACCAAGAGATGAAGCACCCACCTTCGGAACTTCTGCACCCTTTCTATCACTTTCCTTTTTCGGAAGAAGCGGCGCCTCCATATCCTCTTTGCCAAGCTCAAGAGATTCAGTAGATTCGCTCTCGGACGTTCTGTCCGTGCTCAGACCCTCGGTGTCAGAAGACCTCAGGTCTGATCCTCCGCTTGAGGGCCTTGACTCAGGCCTCTGTACTGATGCTTGAGTTGGCGGTGGCGTTGGCGGAGTTTGGTGAGTCTCTTCTTCGGTTTCGCCCGTTGCACTTGTGCTACCAGTCGCCGTCTCTGTTCTGGTCTCGGTTGTGTACTCTCCTGTGGAGGAAGACACGCTATCTTCCTTGTCCTTTTTAGGAGAGCTAACTTGATTCTCAGAAGGACCCCGCTGCGGTTCTGAGGACAGAGGTAAGTAAGCCTCACCCTCTTCCTCTTCAACGCCCGAAAGACTCTCCAGTGGTTTCAGCCGAATATCTTCATTGGACACTTCGGGAAGCGATGCAAGTGTGAGTGGGCTTTTCGGCGGCGATTCTTCCGATCCACCCCAGATTCCCTCGAGGAACTCTTTGGCGATGTCCACGTTGTCCCCGGAAACAGGAGCAGCAGTCAGGGGATCCGATTTCTCGGGTCCAGAATCACCAAAGTCCAAGCTTCCCAGGCTCTTGCGCGGGTGTTCCCCGACGGGAGGCATGCTACCCAAGTCGCCTTCGTTCACGCTTACGGAAGGCCTCCGGCTGTCGCCATGCTCGACCAGGGCACTCGCAGACGGTTCCGGCCGAGGCTCACTCTGGCTTTTCTCGTCCAACGCGGCCAGTGGCGGCTGTCTCTGGGACCGCTCCTTGCTCATGGTGAGTTTACCGGCTCCTGACCAGGCCTGGTAGCGGTCTCAGAGTATGCAGTGTTGACATAAAGCGGACCAGAATGATTCCAACATCGACGCCTCCTTATGTGCGCGCGGATGTCGCAAGGTGACTCCCACGCAATATTTGGGATATTCTGTGTGTCACAGCGATTGCAAAAAGCCTTACTAGCCGGTATGGTTCCATCTTGAAAGCAAACAAAGGCTGGGACAGAGCAAGGTCTCGCGCTCAGCGCAGGGGCCGACTCCGAAGTCATCACATCATCTTTATTCTTTTTTGTCTCGTTTCCAGATGCATCTAAATTCTGGCTTATCTAACTTGATTCATTATTAAAAGGGTGGTGAATATATTTTCTACTTTTAATAATTACTGCTCAGGGTTATTCCTTGATCTATATAGCCTGCGTTGGTTTTTCTCTTCATAATTATTTCCGCAGAAATAATTATGAAGAAAAACTAGCAGCTTTGAACCCGCAACTCCCAGTCGACACAAGCGGGGTGGGATCTGGTGCTGATCAAATGTCGCCAGTAGGCTCGTTTGATTTACCTGCACCTCCTGCACCGGTGCAGACAAATGTAGAGCAGTCTACGTCCGGTATATGAACCTACATTTTTCTGCACCAGTGCAGGAGGGGAAGGTAAATTGAACGAGACTAATGCTTAGCTTAGCCACTGGCTGGGGTTGATAAAGCACAGTGCACGTTTCGAGCTCGAGTCATGGTTAAGGTTCGAGTGTTTCCGCCGTTTCAGGGATTGAAACTATACACCATCCTAATATTTACGAGTCCTGAGCCCAGGGTGTGATCTCCTCAGCCCAGCACCCGCATGTTCGTCGCTCCGGGAAGCGGGCAAATCGCGCGCCATACGAACGAACATTTAAACTGCAACCGGCCAAGTGTATTCGCTGCAGCAGATAGCCGTGTGCGCAACTACTAAGCTCGTGCCGAAGGACAGCTTCCACAGTAATTTTTCAACGTGCATTCCAAACCCTCAAGGTTGCCGTTCTTATGAAACTATTAATGTGAACTCTTTCTGAGTATATGCTCTAAACAGTACCCAGAAATATGGCGCCCAATGAATAATCCCGATAGCACCGTAACTAGTCGCGGTTTGAAGCTCGCTACAGGCGCCTTTGTTTTCTTCACTTTTGGTAGTGCACGCGCTACCGACGCAGTTATGCTTAATTTTCATACTGAACAGAAGATTGGGATTGCACTTTCTTGCACCAGCAGAGGAAATTCAAGTGTCCTCACTCATGGTTGTGAAAACATTCCACCTGGTGGCGACACCCAAACTTCTCACCGCGAATATTTTGTGTGTGCGAATGCTGAGCACGTGCTGATGGCGAGCTTCCAGTTATTTTGCTACGTGCGTTCCACGCCTAACTTAGGCTTAAGACCAACGTTACTGGAGCAAGCTCAGTTTCTCAGCTCCCTATTCTTGCCTGCGGAGGCGAAAGGGGCCCAGGTGGCGGCCACGAGAACTAGCGGCGCTGCAGTCGGATCTTACTTCCCTGTCTCTCGCGTCGTCTGCTACCACTGCGTTGAGATCTTCTTTTTCTTTTCTTCCTTGTTTTTTTTTTTTGTTGTTGTTGTCGTTGTTTACTTGTGTATAATACCAAAAAAAGATGACGAAGATAAAGTGAAATACACCACAGAGCTCAGAGTTGTTTCGTTGGCCAATAAACGAGTTCTGAACTGAACTGACAGAGCTGAGAGTCCGCGCAGTGTGAGAGTTATTTCTTTGAGTGTTTGAAATATATTTTTGTGTGCATCTGTTTACTTCCGTTGTGAAGTGTTATTATGAATCACCAACTCGCCCCAGCTCAAGTATTGCTGTTCAAACTTGGCGGGCTAGGCAATCCGGAATTAAGACTGGACTGCAGCGCTGCTAGTTCTCGTGACTGGAACTGAGCCCGCGTCGCTGCCGGAGCTGTGAAACTGAGCTTGCTCCAGTAAAGTTGCTTAAGACTGCAATCGTGCACATGACTTTTTGCTTGACACGTTCACATGTGGTGCCTGCCGATGACCAGGGGTTGTGCTCGGAATATTTGAAGAGAAGAAAGAATACTGTGTCAAATTATATCGTTGTTGTGCTGGCTCTGAGACGGTGTTTTTCCTGTCCTTTTTAGCTCCTTGTCTTTGGTTTTTTTTTTACTGTAATTCCACACCATCAAGATTACCGTTCATAGCAGCCTATAGACGCTTTGGAGCAGCTGTGCATGGGCGCCGCCATAACTGACCTTCCGTTTTTGTTTCATCTTATTCCCTTCACTTCATTATTACCACAGCAAGACAGGTTATTGCCATTTTAGTTTGCACTGTGTCCTTCTCCGTAGCATTGGCGTTTGTGTACGCTCGTCAGCGCCTGCTTCAGTGGATCGGCATATCGGTAAGGCAAGAGAAGGTCAGCTATGGCGGCTGTAATCTGGCGCGTGTGCAAAGCGTCTATAAATGTGAACTCGTTCAGAGCATGCGCGCTAGACCGCACCCAAAAATATGGCGTCCAAAGTATACTCCCTATTGGCGACGTGCGCGGTCGAAAGCGTCGCTGTGACCGGGCTTTACACGATGGGCCGAATGCTGACCAAGACGTCCGCAAATTTATCGACAGAAATAAGAGTAATCTAAACGCTTTATTTTTAACGGTGTTGGCAGTGTTGGTTTCAGAGAGCAATGATTTTAAGCTTCCCCTATGCTCATTACAAACACAATCGAACTTGTTATTCGCAAGGTAATGACGTCACGAGAGGGAATCGTAGGAGGGCGCCACCAAAACACCTCGCCGCTAATAGAGGCTATTAACTGGACGCCATATTTGTGGGTGCTGTTTAAAGCACATGCTCTGAATGATTTCATATTAATCGGTTGCTAAGACCGGCAATCTTCATGGTGTGTAATGCACGTTGAAAAATAACTGTGGACGCTTTGCATCAGCACGCGCTCAGCAATTGCGCACACAGCTATGGCCGCTAGTGAATACCCCCTAGTTGCGAAGATAATAGAGAGTTTTAGTAGATCGTTCCCATGACTCCGATAACAATATCCCGATACTTCGCCACCGCCTCCCTGGCTCATGCATAGTATCGTTATCGGGGCTATCGGAGGTATCGGAACGATCTACTAAAACTCTATTAGAGTTCCTGTATAGGCTCCCTACGGGAGCCAGAGTTGCGCGTTCATGCATGGCATGTGGATACAGCTCCTCATGTGACTGAATTCGGCGAATAGCAGCGCCGCGCGTTCGAGGCGCGCGGCGCGTTCAAAAGCTGGGGAACGTACGCCGGGGCACGTGCAACGTCTACTTTGCTGCACGACACTTGATACGGCTCCTCACGTGATCGGATCTCGGCGAATAGCGGCGAGGGCGGCACGCGGCACGTGGAATCAAGCGCGCAACTCTGGCTCCCGTAGGGAGCCTATTAGCGGCGAGATGTTTTGGTGGCGCCCTCCTATGGTTCCCCCTTGTGACGTCATTACCTTGCGAACAACAAGTTCGATGGTGTTTGTAAATATCATGGTGGAAGCCTGAAATCACTGCGCTCTCAAAGCAACACTGCCAACACCGTCGAAATTAAAGTTCTTTCATTCCTCTTATTTCCGTCGATGGTATACCCTTTCCGACGTCATAGTCAGCTTTTGGGCCAATCGTGGAAGGCCGACCACAGCGACGCTTTCGGCCGCGCACGTCGCCAATACAGGAACTCTTGTAGATATGTTTTGCTGCCCCCTCCTATGGTTCTCTGTAGTGACGTCATTACCGTACAAACAACAAGTTGAATAGTGCTTGTAAGGAGCATTGTGGAAGCTTGAAGTCATAGCGCTCTGAAACCAACACTACCAACACTGTCTAAATTGAAGTTCTTATACTACTCTTATTTCCTTAATTAAGAAAGCCTTTGCTGAGGTCGGAGTCAGCGTTCGACCAATCATGGCAGGCAGATCATAGTGACGCTTTTGATCACTCACTTCGCTAATAGCACTATAACTATTCGCGGTTAGATGCTCGCTAGAGGCGCGATTGCTTGCTTCACTATTGGTAATGCACTTGCTAACGACGCGGTAGGCAAGGGCACAAAGCTCGCGCTGAGGTCAGAGCTTCTCATGCCAGCTTAAAGGTAAACGAATGATCATAACGAGCTCACACGAATAAGCTGCTAAGACCGGTAATCTTGATTTTGTGGAATGCAAGTTGCAAAAGAACAATAGGCGACAGAGGCGGCGTCGCCCCTTTCACCCAGAGCCGTGAATTGAAAGAGTTTGGTGAATGGGGAGGAGCAGGAAGAGCCGGGGCGTGCACCAGACGCAGAAGGAGGGCGTAACCTGCTCTCTTGGTCAACCAGAAGCTGAAAAAAATCCCCTAGCGGTGGTAGGGGCAAACAGTTTTAATCATAGGTATATGGTTTTAATAAGGTCGTAAGAGTTAAATGTTTTAGGCCCTTCATGGTTGAAAATAGGGTGCACGTGACGTTTTGAATATTGTCATGGAGGAAGATATAAGAAAGGAATGTGCTGCTCGAACTCTGTTTTTCTCGGACAGAGTGTGAACGCTTGGACGGCAGATTTCCGGCCCTCGGCGCCTGGCGTACGGATTATGTCGATCGTTCCGTTAGACACACCCTTCCACAATGATTTCGGACGACCATGGTTGAAATATCACGTTCACCGTTTTTTCACTCACCAATAGCTACTCTGATGCACTTGTTAAGTTTGTTTCTCGCGACCACCGCCAGGGTAATATCAAATACCATTGACTACCAATACTGGAAACGCGAGCCAAAATACATGGGGTTGTCGGGAGACACAGAAGTGCTGCCGTCTCTCGGTGTAAGATGCTAAACTATGAGCTCGAAATTAAAAGGAAAACAGTCATTCACTACACTATTTCTTTTCTTCACACTATCAGGAATTGTGAATATATGGCAAATCGGTGTGCCGATTTCAATTGAGCAAGAAATACCGTGTATCAGACACGGTATTTTTGATAAT